TTTTATATATTGAATTCATATACATAAAGAAATTTAATTTAAAATTATTAAGATTAAGATTAACATGTGTGGTTATTGGCATGTATGGTTATTAGTTGATATGTTAATATACTTTGTCAAATTGAAATTCAAATTAGGTAATTAAATGATGGATGACCGTAGTTAGATAGATCGTCGTGTGGATAATAGTGGTTTTGTTACTGATGAATTTAAAGAGGGGGTGCAATTTTTTGTGAGATTTGCATTTTCAAGACCGAAAGCAAAATTAGAGATTAAGTGTCCTCGTTCGAAATGTAAATGTAGAAAATGGGGGAATCCTGAGGTCGTCTCTGTGCATTTGTGTAAACATGGGTTTATGAATAACTATTATATATGATATGTTCATGGAGAGACATCTAGTAATACAGTAAGAAACTTTGAAAGGGAATCTTCTAATATGGAGTTTGTTAGAAATGAGGTAGATGCATTATACCATGAAATGGTAGTTGATGCAATGGGTGCACAGTCTGAATACAATGACGAGCCAATGGCTGAGGAGCCAAATAGTAAGGCAAGAGAATTTTATGATCTCTTGCATGCTGCAGAAGTCCATATAGGTGCTGGGGGATAGGATGTTACAGTACTTTCATGGATGGCAGAAATGCTAAACATGTTATAGTACTTTCATGCTAAATATGAGTGCTGCTAATTGGGAAATGACATTGTCATTGAGTTGAAAGTTGTTGAGTCTAGAGGACCAAGAAAAGGTGCCAAAGGATTTCTATAGTGCAAAAAAAATGATAAATGTGCTTGGACTTGAGTACAAAAAAATTGATATTTGAGTCAATGATTGCTTCTTGTACTATGATGAGCAAAGTAAGAATTTAACTGCTTGTTCAGTGTGTGGAGAATCCCGTTATGAGCCAAGGAATATGTCTGCTATAAGGCAGAAAGATGTTCCAAGGAAATCTTTGTGGTACCTTCCAATTACCCCAATATTGCAGGGACTATACATGTCTAGAAAAATAGCAGAGCACATGACATGGCATTTGAAATGTCGTGAGGATGCAGATGAAGTTATTCATCCTGTGGGTTGTGAGGTATGGAAACACTTTGATGAAACCCACCCAACATTTGCTGATGAACCTAGAAATGTTAGACTTGGCCTCTGTACAAATGGTTTCAATCCATTTGGTTGCTCTGCAACGCCTTATTCTTGTTGGCTTGTTTTTCTTACAGTGTACAACTTTCCTCCTGAATTTTGTATGAAGTTAGAGCATATATTTCTTGCCATGATAATTGCTGGACCTAAAAGTCTAGGAAAAAACATTGATGTCATGCTTAGGCCATGAATTGATGAACTTAAGGAATTGTGGACAAATGGGGTTGAAACTTATGATAGTTTCAGACAACAAAATTTTATCATGAAAGTTACATTGCTATGGACTATAAGTGATTTTCCAAGTTATGACATGTTATCTGGATGGAGCACACATGGGAAGTTGTCATGCCCTTATTGCATGGAGAATACTAAGGCTTTTTAACTTCAATATGGGAGGAAAACATTATTTTTTATTGTCATCGTCAATTTTTACCTTCTAAACACCCATTTCGTAGAGATAAGAAAATTTTTTATCTCAATATAGTTGAAAAAAGTCGTCCCCCCCCCC